CACACAGATCACCTCACCCGTACACCCACACAGATCACCTCACCCGTACACCCACACAGATCACCTCACCCGTACACACACACTGGATCGTAATTGACAACTTTCTTTAAATAGCGAATTCTCAAAGATCTGGAATAATATATGACTCTGTTCATTGTTCAAGAATATCATATCAAGACCGAAAATAAGGCAAAAAATGGTCAAAGCATTTCGGTAAAAAAAGTGATTTCTCCATTAGGTTTACTCGACACTACTTAGAAGTTAGTTGCCCAACAAACTTCAATGATGCATAATCTAACGGAAGAGCTCAAAGAGAAGCTACCTTACTGAGACATTTGTGAGTCTATTGAGGAATCATATAGATGAAGCTAAATCGATTTAGCCCACGATTTAGTAAGCAAGACTAATTTCAGACAATCCTGGGTAATTCTGGAATCTCAGATTAGGTAACATTTTGCTTTTGTTGACTCTCGCGGAGATAGGGCGATAAGACCTTCAGTTATTGGACTTTTATTTCAAAAGAGTATTCGAGCATACGACTTTCATCAAATTACCTTTTCACCATGTTTGACGATATGTTGATGATTCCAGAATTAAGAAACTTAGTGTCCGTGACAGCATGAGTAAATAATTCTCCAATAAGAGATACCGCGAACTACCTCACATGGATGTGGTAGCCATCAAAAATTGAAAAATCATCAAACTACAAATAAAGCCGACTATGTTTCACAAGAAGAAAAATATTTCTGATGTGGAATTCCCGAGATATACAAAATGCCTCAGTGGTATCCAGCATCATCAAAACAGATTTCGCTGCATACATGCTTCGTAAGCTCAAACAATAATTCTCTCAAGGCCCTTGAGAAAGGGCCCTGCGAAAAAGGCCCACCAACAGCTCACTTGAAATTTCTTTTTTTCGATCGATGATATTGATACTATAGGTCTTGAAAACATAAAGTGCAGTACCATGTCATCTACTGTACATACGAGAGCTCGTCTAATGATGATGGTGTGATGAATCGAGCTAACAATTCACGAAATAATTACGTATCTGCATACTCTTTTAAGAGAGGTTTTTTGTGTCGGATTTAATGGGAACTGATGAATGTGAGAAAATGGGATATTTGCCCTTTCCAGCAAATGAGCCAATTCATTACGGAATCACCGAATGCCGCATATGTGGGAACGGACTTTGTAGAATGAGTTTCTTTTGTTATCAAATTTTTATCTTTCGGTCTTTTGACAAAGATTTCAGCAGTACTAGATTGTGACTTTTCAGAAGTTTTTCGCTGGGGAGGTGTGGTGGAGCCATAGTATTGAATGATTTATCAAGGACGGGACGTTACTTCGTATCTATATGACTATGACGAGGATCGACAGTGCAATATAAATCCGGATTCGAATGGAATTGATTAATTTCGATAATTTTGAAAATTAATCTGATGAGGTCATAGACTTACATCCCAACGTACACATTGGTTAAATGGATTTGCAGAAGTCAAAGGTCAAGCAAAGTGAACAGCGGCGAGGGCTTTTCGAATTGAGCGTGAACTAATATTCATATGGGCCCATTGAAATGAAGGATGTGTTAAAATGTGCCGGTACAATCATCAGATATGTCCCTAAATGGCTATTCTTGCTTGATTGAACGGGAATGTTAGGAACTTTCGAGAGACGCTGAATCTGCACATTCGCGACTTTTATTTGGCTGCAAAAGATTTATTCAACGCTTACGAGCCCCGCATGTATGATTTCACTAGGACGCCAATTAGCAGTTCCAGGTGGAGTAAAATTGTTAACTTCGTCCTACCAAGCTGAAAGAGGAATTTTCATGAGAGGACTTCTAGCCTACATAGCTAAAAGTCCGTTTTTCATTCATCACTTGTATCTTTTCTCATCCGGGACCCCTCGATCGAACTTTCGAGTGTTGATATTTCACAATCTGTTTCTTGATTGAATATTACAGGGTGAAATGTTTTGAATGAGATCATTCACCCATTGATTTTAACGGGATAGGAAACTTGGTATGAGTTGTCAATTCCTAGTCCAGGAAATTATCAAACTTTAGGGGGTTTTCCCATTGATCACTCCGAAAATAGAGCTATCATGGTTAAACAGATTGATTTGTAAAATTTTAACAGTCAGTTCTCCCTACCCATACCACTAACCAAATAGTAAGGAGGTGATTAATAGGTATCGGAATTTCATTTTATCTGTGATTTTTGCAACCTTTGTAATTATTCAGATGCTTTTAGAGTCAGTTCCAAAAAGAAAACATTTATTAATAACACACTTAGGCCAGCATGTGCTCTGATCCATTGGTGCTAAAAAGTTTACCACTTTGAATAGGACCATAAAATTCGACTGCTTTGAGAAATTTTTTACAAGCTTGTTCAACTGTTTGAATACCAACAAAATCCTCGTTATTTCTCAAAAAGCCAGCTTTAAAACCTTCGATAAAACCGGCCATTATCTCATCACTTAAACCATTGGAGTTGACAATACCGGGACATAAGGCAATGATGGTCATTTTCTTTTGTTTAGCGATGTTAGTATATTTAGCAACAATTGTATTAGTCATAGATTTGGAAAGTGAGTATGGAAGAACATTATCAATTCTCGATCTTTCAATGAATTCATCGTTACCGAAAGAAGTGGAAATGAAAATGATTTTCTTTTCTTGTGATTTTTCAACTAAAGGAATAAGTTTATTGGTGAGGTAAATTTGGGAGTAAGCATTGATTTCAATACTTTTAGTGGTGCCTGTAGTAAATTCTTTCCAAGATTCTTGAGACTCGGTAAGCTCTAATGGGCTTTTCATGTTCCCATCAATGTAAGCCGCATTCAAAATGGCAATATCAATGGAATCGACTTTTTTGGTAATTTCTTCAAATGCTTGATCCATTTCCTTTTCAACAGCAATATCGCAATAGAATATTTGTAGATTATTAGAACCCAAGGCCTCTAAGGCTTCGATATTGGCAGATTTTCTAACAGTAACAAGAACTTTATTGTCAGGGTTTTTGACAAGTTCAGTTACTAATCCGAGTCCAATTCCTCGGTTGGCTCCAGTAATCAAGTAAGTCTTCATGGTAAGATATCGATGAAAACTTGGGATATTCACCTTCTATTTATATTAAACTATTTAACCTGATATGACAACGGAATTGATATAATTCCGATACCAAAAACCGATATTTACTAAGCAAGAATTATTCCATTACGTGATACGAGTCTATGTAGGCGAATAAGGAGAGCCACACGAGATCTTAAAGGAACTCATAGTGTTTCTAGGTCTCCAGTTTATACTGGGGACAAAAAAAGGATAACACAACCATTTTTCCTCCATAAATATAACATCTTAAACACACCGATAAGTCCGATCTGATAAGATTTTCATAATTCGATTAATAATGAAATGAGGAATCTAATAGCTTAGTGATGTAAACAATTTCAAGGTTTGTAATGTTATTAATTCCTTCTGAACACGAGATTTGAAAGATTGGGATTTTTGTAACAGAAATACTAATGAGTTATCACTTTTAACAAATTTTGGAGACACTTTTTGAAAGGTTCGAGACTTTAAGATCTTGAGCAGATTCACAGAGAGTTCGATAAGGAATAGCATATATATAAGACTAGAAAATCCACGCAAGTACTTTGCTTTTCAAACTTGGTTTATAATTTTCTTGTTCAACATTTAATTTAGCATAATACTCATACTCATGTTCTTCAATTTCTTCAAGACCAGTGTAAAGATCAGCTTCAGCTGGATTTACTCTTTTAGTCTTCTTGAATAACTTCCAACCAAAGATCAAAATGATATTTATGAATACCATGATATAATTAAAGATAAAGGAAGAAGTACTCCACATACCAGGTAAGAAATTGGTATAACCCAAAATACCCACCATCACGATCAAGAAGAATAAACTGAAATAAATCCCGTAGGGTTGGTACCAAGCTTTAAATTTGAAAGCAGATCTATCAATACCTTGAGCTTTACAAGCTCTATGGAAACCAATATAGGTGATACCCATGAAAACATAATTTAAAACTTGAGAACCAGTACAAATACTGACCAAGTAACCTAAAACAGTTGCAGAATTAGAACCCAATTGTAATAAGGATAATAAAGCAAAACACATAGCTACCAAAATACCAAAGATTGGAACACCTGAGCTGGTACAATAACTGAAAATCTTTGGGGCAAAACCTTGTCTTGCTAAAGAATATAAAACTCTTGAAGAACAATAGACATATGAATTACCAGCTGAGAAAGCAGAAGTAATAATCAAAGCATTGACAATATCAGGTAATCCTTTGATACCTAAGTTGACCATAGCGACCACATAAGGAGAGCTAGCAGCACCGGTGGAAGGAGCATTGACTAAAGTAGGATCATTATAGGCAACTAAAACACTCACTGAAAGAGCACCGAGAACGTAAAAAACCACTAAACGGTACAAAACAGTTGAAAAGGCCTTTGGCATGGTAACTCTAGGATTAGCAGCTTCTGAAGCAACCATAGATAAATATTCAGGTCCTACGATACAGAATGCTCCTGCAATCAAACAATTGACCAAACCCTGGAATCTACCACTGTCACCTTCGCTCAAGTAAGCAACCATAGGTCCGCCTTCAGTTTTCCAATATCTAAAACCAAAAGCATCATGTTGAGGATTTCCTCCACACATGGTGATTAAAGTGAAGAATAGTAAACCGGTGGCTAAAACCACTTTACCTAAAGCTAACCAAAATTCTGATTCTCCATAAATTCTTACGGCAAATATGTTGATTAACGCATACAAAACGATTTGAACCCCTAAAGTGATACCAGCACTATAATCGTCTCTCCAATAATGAATCATTCCATTAACAGCGACGATCTCAAAAGGAATATATAATGATTCCATTAAATAGAAATTCCAGCCCGCTGAAAACTCCATAGCTTCATCAACACACCTTCCAGCCAAAGTAATAAAGGGTGAAGCTACAGGTAAATAAGATACCATTTCCCCCACACAACATGTTAAGATCAACATAACAAAAGTCCAGAACCAATAAGCTAAAACCAACGATAACGGACCACCCATCATCAAAGGATTACCGATAGTGATGAAAAGAGCTGTTCCAATTGCACCCCCGAAAGCAATAAGATTAACAATACGTAATGGTAAAGTTCTGTGAATTTTTTCCTCAGGGTTTATACTGAGAAAACCAAACTTTTTGATCTGAACAGATTTTGAAGATTGTGAACCTTCTTCGACAACATCGTGAACTACTTGGACTTTTTCTTTCTGTGCTTCAGACATCCTTGAACAACTTACAAGAACTTTTGAACTTGTCTTATAGTTGATTCGAAAAGCTTGATCAGATAAGCTCGCTTTTTTAGATAAGGCCGCATATTTTTTATCTCTGTCGCATAATCCCAAAACGGTAAAAAAATGCTGATAAGATGAGGCTCCAGGTTATCGGGGTCAAAAATGTCCCGATCGATGTCAAATTACGGCAAATTTGGGGGATGAATTAACTTTTTTTATTTGATAATTTTACGAGACTATGCGCCTTCGAACTTAAAAACGTTTGCTCGCTTGAAATGCCTTCATTGGGATAAATCAGTCAACGACGAGAACTTGAGAACTTCGATCAGAAAGGAAGAGTCAAATACAATCTCGTGAGGGGTCACAATAAAACTCGATAAGGATAAACTCATTGTGATAGAACTCTTTTTTATCATATTACGACATAATTATACGATTATCAACAAGCATCCATTTAGAAAATCCACCCAAGAATCTTATTTTTCAAGCTGGGTTTATAATCATCAGGTGAAACATTCAACTTAGCATAATATTCATATTCATGTTCTTCAATTTCTTCCAAACCAGTGACGAGATCAGCTTCGGCAGGATTGACTCGTTTCGTTCTTTTGAAGATCTTCCAAAAAGCAATCAAGATAAGATTAACAAAGACCATAATATAACTAAAAAGGAAATCTGATACACTAAACATACCAGGTAAGAAATTAGTGTATCCAAGAATACCCACCATAACACACAAACAAGTTAAACTGAAATAAATACCATAAGGTTGGAACCAAGCTTTGAATTTGAAAGCTGTTCTATCAATACCTTGAGCTTGACAAGCTCTATAAAACCCAATATAAGTAACCCCCATGAATGCATAGTTCAATACTTGAGAACCAGTACAAATACTGACTAAATAACTCAATACAGTAGCAGAATTAGATCCCAATTGTAATAATGATAATAAGGCAAAACACATACCCATCATGACCCCAAAAATTGGGACACCGGATTTAGTACAGTAACTGAAGATCTTTGGTGCAAATCCTTGTTTGGCCATTGAATATAAAACTCTTGAAGAACAATAGACATAAGAATTACCAGCTGAGAAAGCAGAAGTAATGATCAAAGCATTGACAATATCAGGTAAGGCTTTAATTTGAAGATTTTTCATGGCTACAACATATGGGGATTTAGCAGCACCGGCTGCTGGTGCATTAACTAAAGTAGGATCATTATAAGCAACTAAAACACTAACAGAAAGTGATCCAAGGACGTAAAAAATAACTAAACGGTATAAGATAGTTTTAAAAGCTCTAGGCATGGTAACTCTTGGATTAGCAGCTTCTGAAGCTACCATGGAAATATATTCTGGACCCACAACACAAAAAGCCGCTGCCACTAGACAACTGACTAAACCTCTAAATCTTCCACCAGATCCATCACCACCTAAATAAGAAACCATTGGACCACCTTCAACTTGCCAGTATCTAAAACCAAAAGCATCATGTTGAGGATTTCCTCCACACATGGTAATCAAAGTGAAAAATAATAAACCAATGGCCAAAACAATTTTACCTATAGCTAACCAAAATTCTGATTCTCCATAAATTCTAACAGCGAAAATATTTATAATACCATATAAAACAATTTGGACTCCTAAAGTGATACCAGCACTATAGTCATCTCTCCAGAAATGAATCATACCATTAACAGCGACAATTTCAAAAGGAATATATAAAGATTCCATTAAATAAAAATTCCAACAAGAAGAAAATTGTAAAGCTTCATCAACACATCTACCAGCCAAGGTAGTAAAAGGTGAAACAACAGGTAAATAGGAAACCATTTCACCGACACAGGTATTCAAAATAACCATGACGATAGTCCAAAACCAATAAGCCAAAACCAAAGATAACGGACCACCCATCATCAAAGGATTACCAATAGTGATAAAAAGAGCAGTACCAATAGATCCACCAAAAGCAATAAGATTAACAATACGTAATGGTAAAGTTCTGTGAATTTTCTCATCGGGATTGATATGAAGGAACCCAAATTTAAGTTCTTTTACTGGTTTAGTAGTGGCGGAATCGGAAGTTGAAGCTTCTTCTACCAAATCATTGACCACTTGGACTTTTTCATTCTTTTCAGCAACCATGGTCAACAGCTTTGAAAAGTACAATGGAATACCAATTTGTTTTTATATGTCGCCAAAATGCGGACCTGATGATAAGATAAGCTAATTTTTTTGGCAGATCCGCATTCAAAATAGGAGATAGAGTTCCGATGCAGTGGGGTTGATTTGAATCAGTCTTTCGCCTATAGTTAAGTTAGTAACACTCAAAACGATCCACTCTCTTTCGAAACCCTATCCATATAGTCCTTACATGAGTTGGTATATGTTATTACCAGATGTTAAATTTTTACAAAATGTCATTGCGAATAGCATGAATCTCATAGGTCCGATTGAACAATTCCGAAAAATTGTGGAACCTCGTTTCCTTCTTATCTATAATTCCAGATTAGAGTGAAAGATTTTTTTTATCAAGATGAAGTAACCAATAAAATATAACATCATGTTAAGATAAATGTATTACGAACTAAATAAAATTTTCTAAAACCCCCATTTTAGTTAAAACATCCATTGAAGGATTTTGCTTTTAATAGTAACCTTTGCTTCTTCAGCTTTAATTCCTTGTTTTGCATAATACTCATACTCATGTTCTTCGATTTCTTCTAAACCAGTAGCAAGGTCGGCATCTTCAGGTTTGACGTATTTTGTTTTTTTGAAAATTTTCCAGAAAAATACTAAAAAGATGTTAATGAACACCATGATATAATTTATGATGAAGGAACTGGTATCCCAATTTCCAGGTAAGAAATTGGTATATCCGATAATACCTACCATGATGATTAAGAAGGTAATACAGAAAATGGTACTATAAGGTTGACCCCAAGATTTGAACTTGAAAGTATTTCTATCAATACCTTGAGCATTACAGGCTCTGTAGAAACCAAAGTATGTTATACACATAAAAACGTAATTCAATACTTGGGATCCTGTACAAACACTCGTAAAGTAACCTAAAACGGTAGCCGAATTGTTACCTAATTGTAATAATGATAACAAGGCAAAACACATGGCTGCAAAGAAACAGAAAATTGGAACACCTGATTTGGTACAGTAACTGAAAATCTTTGGAGCAAAACCTTGAGTGGCCATTGAATATAAAGTTCTGGTTGATGAATAAACGAATGAATTACCGGCAGAGAAAGCTGAAGTTACCATAACAGCATTAACAATGTCAGGTAATACTTTAACGTTCAAGTTGTTCATGGCCACCACATAAGGAGACTTAGCAGCACCAGTGGCAGGAGCGTTGATTAAATTTTCGTTATTATAAGCAACAACGATACCAACACAAAGAGCACCAATGACATAGAAAAATACCAAACGGTAGATAACTGACTTGAAAGCTTTTGGCATATTGACTCTTGGATTTTCTGCTTCTGAAGCAGTCATAGCAAGATACTCAGGACCAGTACAAGTAAAAGCAGCAGTAATCATAGCAGAAATAAGACCTTGGAATCTTCCCGAGGCCCCTTTATTCATATATTCTGCCATTGGACCACCTTCAGCTCCCCAGTTTTCAAATCCATATGCATGATGTTGAGGATTACCTCCACTCATAGTGATAAGAGTGAAAAACATTAAACCAAAAATCAAGATTAATTTACTGATTGAAAGCCAAAATTCAGTTTCACCATAAACTCTGACGGCAAAAATATTGATCAATGCATATAAAACGATTTGAACTCCCAATGTTATACCAGCACTATAATCACTTCTCCAATAATGAATCATACCATTAACGGCAGTGATTTCAAAAGGAATATATAAGGAAATCATAAGATAAAAATTCCAACCAGCAGCAAATTCCAAAGCACCATCAACACATCTTCCAGCTAATGTAACAAAAGGTGATGCAATAGGTAAATAAGATACCATTTCTCCAACACTGTTATTTAAAAGAAGAATAATGAACGACCAAAATCCGAATGCAAGTAATAATGATAATGGACCCCCATTCATTAAACCACTTCCAATACTGATAAATACTGCAGTACCAATAGCACCAGAAATACTAATAAGTTGGATAATTCTTAATGGTAAAGTTCTATGGATTTTTTCTTCTGGATTAATGGAGAAAAGACCAAATTTCACCACCTTGGTGGATTGAGTTGAGTTAGTTTCATACTCCTCGTTCTGGAATTCAGTCTTTTGTTGAACCACAGTCATCTATTGTCTATAAAGTTTGAATATATGAGGTGAACTTGATTATCTACAAGGAATTCTAACGGTATTTATATGTTTATTGAAAATTTTTTAAACTTCGATTAGCCTGTATATTGAGTGCGTCTTTAATGACTTCCTCATCGTTGTTTTTCTTTACTTCAAGATCGGCGACCGTTGAGTGCTTGCGAAATTTAAACAGAGGGTGCTTGATGACCAGGACCGAGTACTGGATAGAGGTTATAACTGGAGGATAGAGCTGTGTCAATAGAATTGTTTCATTGAATTGATGATGATCGTTGGAAATGGAATTTATTCTATTGGTGCCGATAAGATTGAGATATCTAAATTCCGTAATTTTCGGAATTTCTACGGAATTTGAAGAGCTGGGGTTTAAGGTGCTTAATTGATCAATACTATAAGGTGGGTTATCTATCATGAAAGAATGGAATATCGCTTGCAAATTCCATTGTAACACAGGCGATAGAACCCAAAGGGGATATATGGGGGATGGATTTACATAGGTCGGTCTTAATGATGGTTGAATTCATCTCTGGGTAGAAAATTTTTTCCTACACATCACCAAGATATATTTTTAATTAGTCATAGATAGAAAATCTTTGATTCAAAGGCCCGTAAAAACGTCAATCCAATCAGGGGGGAATTAAAGCTAGATATTCATTAGAAGAATGAAGTAAGATTACCAGAGTCAAAGTCTGTCAACTCCCTGATGTTTCATAATACGATATGACATACTAAAACATTGGGACCACTGCTGACTTTTATGACCCTTCATCAACTATCAATACGAATATGCGGCAGGCATTACGGAATTTGATATCGCAGAAATTCCTATCCAAATTCCTCATCTACTATTATTTAAAACCGTTCCCAATCCAGATTTCCGAGACTTGTAATCTTAAAAAACCCCGAAAATATATCGCTTAGGATTTCAAATTTATCTTTATCCAATATCTATTACACACTTTATCTGTAGTCATGCGCGCACGTGACCTATTGATAAGGGACCTGATTATCAGTAACGCGAGTGTCATTATCTGAGAAGCCAGCTTTCAAACTGAATCTCTAACTTTTAATTTGAAATCCCATTCTTTTGAAGATGCATTTATCCAACTTACTACCATTCCAAATGGTATTTGAAAATTCGTTCACTACAGACAATTCATGTCCTTTGGACTTACCTTATTCATGTACTAACTCAACACCCATTGAGAATTCATGTTGCTTCGAAAACCCTGGTGGTATCATGTTACAAACACAATTTTGGGATTATTACCCACCAATTGGTGGTAACGAAACTTTCACTTTACATGGGCTTTGGCCAGATAATTGTGATGGGTCATATGAACAATTTTGTGATAGAAATTTAGAAATTCATGGCGTTGAACCCATTTTAGATAAGTTTGAACCGGGTTTATACGATGAGATGAAGACTTATTGGAAGAATTTCAATGGTAATGATGAACTGTTATGGGAACATGAGTTCAACAAACATGGAACATGTGTTAAAACCATTAGACCTCAATGTTATGGAAATTTCCAAAATGATAGAAACGTTTATGATTACTTTAAAGTAGCTACTAATCTTTATAAGAGCTTACCAACATTTGAATTCTTAAAAGAAGAAGGAATTGTTCCTAGTAACGAAAAGACTTACACCAAAAAACAAATTGACGATGCATTAACTAAACATTTCGGTCAGAAAGTCTTCTTTAAATGTAATAAGTATCAAGGATTACAAGAAATTTGGTATTTCCATCATTTGAAAGGTTCTTTATTACAAGAGAACTTTAAACCTATTGATACTTTGAGCCATTCAAGTTGTCCTGAAACAGGTATTAAATTCTTCCCTAAAGGTGCATTAGGTCCTTCTCCACCACCATCGCCTGGAAGAAGAGGATACCTCAAGATCTCCAACGGTTGTTTGATCTCAAATGGTAAGTTCTTTACTAAAGGTACTTGCGCAACTTTCAGACTTGTTAATGCTGAATTTGGAGGTTACAATATTCTTTCAAGTAAAGGAACTTGTGGAATTGTTGATGATAAGATTGTATGTAACAGATCTAAAATCACCAAGAATCAATTCAACTTCAAAGATGGATTAGTTGGATTTAACAGTAAATTCAAATGGTGCATTGAAGGAAGTAAAGACCAAAAGGATGTGGTATTATCTGACGGAACTTGCGAAGAGTTTGAAATTAGACTTCAATAAGTACCTTACCACAGTGTAACCACCATAGTAACCACTATAGGAAATACACACTCTAAAAAGTAAAATATACATCGACTTTTTTTCAGAAGAACTATGAGCTTTTTAAAGTAATAGAGGGAAGAGCTCTGATATTTATCCGTTGAGGAATCATTTATTATATTAACTCATTCATAAGTCATTATGCAGTTGATGCAGGTTAAACAAAACAATAAAAACAAACTATGGGAACACTGTTCCCTTAAAAATCATAAGCAACTCTAATATCTATAGAATTCAGCTTTGAAAGGACCTTCGACAGGTAAACCTAAGTAATCAGCTTGGACATCAGTTAATTTTTCTAATTTAGCACCTAAATGAGATAAATGTAATTGAGCAACAGTTTCATCTAAGATTTTTGGTAATAAATGAACACCAACATCGAATTTACCGGTTTTAGCGAATTCTGGGTATTTAGTTCTGAAGGCTTCATTTTCAGAGTTGAATAAAGCAATTTGAGCTAAAACTTGATTGGAGAAAGAACATGACATAACAAAAGATGAATGACCAGTAGCACAACCTAAGTTAACTAATCTACCTTCAGCTAATAAGATGATGTGTCTACCGTTCTTTAATAAGAATCTATCAACTTGAGGTTTAATGTTAACAACGGAAACAGCATTAGCTTTTAACCAAGCAACATCAATTTCAATATCGAAATGACCAATGTTACAAACAATAGCATCATTTGGCATAGCTTCGAAATCTTTACCAGTGATGATATCTCTACAACCAGTAGTTGTGACGAAAATTTGACCAACTTTGTTAACTTCATCCATTGGTAAAACTTCATAACCTGAAACAGCAGCTTGTAAAGCATTAATTGGATCAATTTCAGTAACAATAACTTTAGCACCCATACCTCTTAAAGCCATGGCACAACCTTTACCGACATCACCGAAACCAGCAACAACAGCGGTTTTACCAGCAATCATAACATCAGTGGCTCTTTTAATACCATCAATTAAAGATTCTCTACAACCGTATAAGTTATCGAATTTAGATTTGGTAACGGAATCATTAACATTAATAGCTGGGACTTTTAAAGCAGCTTCTTTAACCATTTTATATAAATGGTGAACACCAGTAGTGGTTTCTTCAGATAAACCGAAACAATCATCTAACATTTCTGGGTATTTTTCATGAACTAAAGAGGTTAAATCACCACCATCATCTAAGATTAAGTTTAATTTTTTACCATCTTTGAAAGCAAATAATTGTTGTTCAATACACCATAAGTATTCTTCATCGGTTTCACCTTTCCAAGCGAAAACTGGAACACCTGAAGCAGCAATAGCGGCAGCAGCATGATCTTGAGTTGAAAAGATGTTACATGATGACCAAGTAACTTCAGCACCTAAAGCAGTTAAAGTTTCAATTAAAACAGCGGTTTGAATGGTCATATGTAAACAACCAGCAATTCTAGCTCCTTTTAATGGTTGATCTTTACCATACTTTTCTCTGATATGCATTAAACCTGGCATTTCATTTTCTGATAATTCAATATCTTTTCTACCGAAGGCAGCTAATGAGATATCGGCAACTTTATAATTTTGAGCTGGAGCTGACATTATTTGATTTTGTTAAAAACTTTTAAAAATTTAAGGAGTTTCTTAAAAGTGAAAGATTTCCCTTGTTGAAAAAAACGTTGTGAAAATTTTTTGGTCCATTGATGCGCGCACGAAAATCCTTTTGATCTATACGATAGACGAGGTGGGATTCCAATCGGGATTAAAGAGGTTATAGGGATAAGAAAAAGTAATCGTAAAATCTCATTAACATTATATAATACATTAGATTTCGAATTTTAACCAATCTAAATCTTGAGATGGGGTTTCTTGGTTGAAAAATTCGGGTTTAGGATATGAAGATTGACTTTTGGTATCAAAAGATTGACTTTGGAAGGGTTCAGGGGATTGTGTAGTAACTGATTGAATTGATGGTGAATGAATTGATGGTGAAGGTTGAGAATCAAATTGTCTAAAACCCAAATCTCTTGGTTTATCAAAAAAACTCATAGTTCTAAAAGAACTTGATGCTGTTGGGGTATTAAATGAATTTCTTTGATTTAAAGTTGGGATTGAAATACTACTATTTTTTCTACTATTAGAATATTGGAATGATGACATTGATGAAACTGAAGGTTTCCTACTCAAATTTGATTTCTTCCTTTTGAATGATTGATTGTATTCATTTATCATTGGTGATGAAGGACTATTAGGAATTGAAGTTGAAGTTCGAGGAATTGGTAATGATTTATTATCCCCCGTTATATTAATGTTTGTTGTAGTGGTTGTTGATGAAGGTTTTGGTAATATTAGAACGTTTTTGTATCTTGGACCTCCATTTATTAATTCATTATCGTCTAAATCGAAATTAGAATTAGGTGTACTGTGGTTACTTCCAAATCTCATTTTTGATAAATCATTTGATGAAGGAACTGAATTAGATAATTTGCCATTAATAGATCTTCTTGATGATCTTTTCTTTATGACATCAGTTTTCAAACTTAAAGGACGGGTGGTACCATGTAATTTTAAAAATAATCCACAGGCATTACATAAAGTATTTCCATCAGGATCTTTCCTCCATAAAGGAGTTTTCACTGTATGACAATTATAACATTCAACAATTTTTTTACTACTATTCATATTAACGTTATTTGTCATACTCATACTCATATTCATATTCATATGATTAATACCATTTGAAGGTAATGATTGAGGAGTGAAAGCCCTGGAAGAACTAGGAGTTGTGGGAGTAGTTGCAGCAGGACTTTGATATTGTGGTGATTGAAATGATGAAGTTAAATTTGATTTTGGTTTGATAGTCTTTTTAAGTTTATTTCCCGGACTTGATTTAAAGTTTTTAAAACTAGCACTAATATCAGAATTCTCAACCGGACTTAATTCTTTCTTTTTGTAACTAATATTATTAGGTGGCGAATAATCATTCATACTCACAGGAGTTATGTCCATTAAAGAAATGGGTAACTTTTTTGGATTTTTATCTTCATAATCTAAAGGACTTAATAAATCTAAATAATCACCTTCATTAAATTTTATATGATTTTTTTGGGCTTTACTATTTTCTTTTCTTAAGTTTCTATTCTCCACTCTATTCTGTAATGACAATAACTTCTTAGCAGAGTTATACAACTCATAAATACTAGGACTATCGAAATCCTGTAATGTCATTTGAATGCTCGTGAACAAGGATAATTAATGAAAAAGTTCTAATTAAAATATAAAATAAATTTGTACTAACGGATGGGGAAAATACTTTCGATGGAGTATGTTATATGAAGGTAAGAATTTGTTCTATGTTTAAACTAATCAATTGTTTATGATTGTTTAGAAAATATGGGAAAGTCTGAAAATTTTTTAAAATGCCTTGACAGTCGCAAATTTCTCGTGATGTTTGGGTCGAATGCCTAAATAGGCAATGGCCCAGGAACCTCCTCAGTAAGTGTGCGACTAACCTTTTAGAGTGAATAAATATTAATTCTACTATACACTTATTTTTTATAAACACTATGAAGTTTATATTCAAATGAAACCCCTTTTACCCTTTCACTTGTTTCAACCACACAATCGATATCTTCCCCATTCAAAATCAAATCACATTCTTGAATAATTTTTAATATTGAATCACATAAAATTCTTCTACTTTGAATCTTTTTAGACTTACCTAAATTAGAATTCCAAAGACTTATAATATCTACATCTTTTCTGATACTTAAAACTAATCCATTGATATCATCCAATAAATATTCAGTAGTTTCTTCATTAAAATCTCCATTTATAATTGAACCCGTTAAAATCTTTAAAACCAATCTTTCCCAAATTAAATTTATTCTGTTCTTAGAATTCTTACTAAATTTGAATATCCATCTTCCTCCTTTATTATTGAAAGGATCTTCCCAAACTGGATTTATACCACTTTTGAAGATTAAATATTCTGTATCTATCATAACATCAGTTGGTGCCTTTAATATCGATAAGTTCATCCACATTTGTTCAATACTAGCCATATACTTGGTAGTTTCTTGAGGTTGATGAAATTTAGGAAATTCAATAGGTTGAGTTGATTGTAAATAGTTTTCTTGATTTGCTCGTAAATGGTGCCATATGGTCCAACAATGAGTTAATATATGCTGTGATGATAGTTCTGGTATTATTTGATTAGGTAATTTAACAGCTGGATGATTTTGTAATTCTTTATGATGTTTTCTATCCCTTGAATATGAATGATTATGCCCATTAGAATGATGGTTTCCATGATGATTGTTATGTCCATTGGAATTGTTGCTATGATGTCCGTTATGATGCCCATTGTGATGATTATGATGATTATGATGATTATGGTGATTATGTCCTCTATGATGATGACTTGATGTATCTTCCCCCACATCTTTATCTTCTTTCCCCTGGTTCATTATCCGATTGAATAATGATTCAGCTCTTTTCAAGTTCTCTGACATCTTGTTGTGTGATGGTGTAGTGGTGGTGTTGGGGGTTGACGTTGGTGTGGAATAGATCTTGAAAAATTTTCAATGAGATTTTGGTTTTAACACTCGCAATTTGAACCTGGCATAATTCTGGGGTCGGGGTTTGGTAATGGTACAACTTGGTTGATGGGATGTTAAATAATGTCCAGAGAACCTTATATGTGGTATTTCTGGAAGAATTGGCATAATTTTCGATTTGGGGAAGGGATGGTGATATCTCACTGTTACATCTCCATATAATATTAAGGAGAATGAATCCCGATCCCACAACGTTCCCCGATCGAAGAATGTTTCAACGCCACTCAGTCACAGAGATTGATTGGTTGGATATTAATCTTTGACTTTTATGGATAAATAATAGTCGGGGCGAAATTGTAAAATTTACTAAAACGGCGAAATATCGGCAAGGTTTCGTTTAAACTGACATTATTTTCACCTGAACCCGATCCGTTCGAAGGAATGTCTATAAGATTATTGTTTCAGATGTAATACAAATGAAAAAGGTTATTTGGAATTAAACATTTAATGCCGTATTAATATTCTCTATGCTAGGGAGGATGTTCTTTTAGCATATCACCAATGAGAGTCAATCATCCATGAGCCACTCATCATCCACCTCAGAAGCTAAACATCTTCAAATACTCTATACACAGACAATCAAGACACTCGTAATATCTAGGCTTTCATCTTAGAGAAGAAACGGTTGCAAAAATATCTTAAACTAAACCACCCTGACCATGTGTCTTCCCCTATCCCCAAAAAAAGGCTCCTTTACCCTTCCGTCTAAGTCCCGATCAAGTTGACAACTGTCGTTCTTATTGTTAACTTAAGTTATTTGACTTCAAAATGGCGTCAACTTGACATAAAGCCGCACAACTACCTAAAATATTCCACGACCTTGTCGCTGACTATCAAGGTACCACCTATCCACCCAAGGAAACGTGGGGATAGGAAAAAACGAATTTAGACCATATAAATATCAATGAAAAGTCATCATGGTAGTACTAAATCGTCTAGAAGAATCCTTACAATGTTACAATCGTTATTGTTGGTGATTGCATTCATTCATTTGATCACGGGTCAAGTTTTACCACGAAAATCTGAAACTGATATTGAGCCTCCATCATATAAAGTCCCCTCCAAATATAAATCCGTTGAAGGATATTTCCAACAAACTGATGACGACATCGGTGACAGTGATCCCCAATCAATATTTAACATTAAAAACTTCGGGTTAAACTCCAAATATCAGTGGTCAGATATTCCAGGGATCTTAGATGATTTGAATGATGGTGATGATATTTACAAACTTTTGTTCTTGGCTAGACATGGTGAAGGATACCATAACATTGCTCCAACGTTATACAGTGATCAAGAATGGGAATGTACTTATCAAATGCAAGATGGTGATGCATCAAAAGGTATCACCTGGTTTGATGCTGAATTGACAGATAACGGTATTGCAGAAATCGAGAAATTGGCTAGTTTATGGAAATCCCAAATCAATGACCAAAAGACTCCAATTCCAAGTTCTTTCTACGTTTCCCCGTTATCCAGAACTTTACACACTTACCAATTGACTTGGTCATCAATTGTTGATTCAAGTTCTAATCCTCCTACTGTTAAAGAATATGCTAGAGAAACTTATGGTCTTGGAACTGAAAGTAAAAGACATCCAAAGAGTTACATTACTTCCAATTTCCCATTTGCTAAATTTGAAGATGGATTCTCTGAGCAAGATGTTTTATGGGTATCCAATAAACATGAATCTAAACAACATAGAAATTATAGAGCTAACTTATTATTAAATGATATTTTTATTAACGATAAGAATAGTATTATTTCCATTACTGCCCATTCAGGATTAATTGCTTCAATTTTGAAAGTTGTTGATCATCAAAAATATCCTTTGGCCACAGGTGAAGTTGTTCCAGTGTTGATTAAAGCTTCCAATATCAAGAAATTCGATATGCCAGATTTAGACAAAGCATGGAAGACACTTTCTGATTATTGTGATTCAGCTTAGGTGGAGGTATTTAAATAGAAATATAGATCTAGGATATCCATTACGACTACATAAAATCATCATCACCAAAATCATCGTAATTATTATTCATATCATCAAAAACATCTTTTTTGAATGAACTATTGACATTGGTTTTAACAGCAGGTTTAGCTTTCTTTTTTCCTGCACCTCCAGTAGAAGTACCTCCAGCTTTTGATAATCTAGCTTGTCTTTCAGCCTTTTCTTTATCTTTAATGATGATACTTAAAGTTGATGTAACTTTTCTGGTGTTTTCAATTGATAAAGGTTGACATAAATCTCTAATCAAATCTATAGCTAATGATGATGAGTAATTTAATGATGATTCTTCAGCTAATTTGGTTAATGTTGAACTTAAGGTCTTTCTTAATTTTTCAAAATCTTGTTTAGACTCAGGTTTAAAGATTGGATGCAATTCTAATGGTGAATCTTTAGTTAAAGTGGTAGCAGAATTTGCTTTAGCTTTAGCAGCAGCAGCTTGTGTAGCTCTTTCTCTAGGATGAGCATTAATATCGAAACTTTCATCAACAACACTTAAATCTCCAAATAATGAAGCTGCATTATTTAAATCACTATTCAATTCAGCTTTTCTTAACATTTCAGCTCTGGTTTTTGGATCCACTTTATCAATTTCTAATAAAACTGGATCTTTACCATTCTTAGCTGCTAATTTTTTAGCTTTAGCTTCAGCTTGTTTTTTATGTAATTCATCTAATTCGGCTTTCTTCTTAGCAGCAGCTTCTTTCTTTTGTCTTTCAACTTCTTCTTCATCGATATCCCAACTATCTAAAACTGGATCATCGTCTAAGGCTTCATCTTCCCATGAGGCTGCGGCGTTGTTGTTACCAACATCAAAATCTTCGTCGTCCCAAGACATTGTTCTATGTAGGTTTTGAGGATAAAAAATTTTTTTTTATCGCGGATTAACTTCGCATTTCTGACATGTTGCAAAAAATCCATCAACAACAGATATCCGTTGATGGCATTGACATTCAAGGGTTTATTGATGGAGATGTCACCGTCCATGAAGGTTTTAGTGTAGAAAAAAGTGAATTAGGTGGTTTTGGGATATTTTTAACCGTTGACCAGATATTAAAGGATAAGATAGATGAGACGCAAGATCTATTAATTGCTAGAATCCCTGCCAAAATTACATTCGATTTACCTTTATTGTTGAGCAAACAAGAGACATTGAAACTAAGAAGTCCAAAAGAGTGGGAGATTATCAAACAGGTTCTTAGTAATTGTGAAGGTGTCAATGAGACTGAGATTCTAATAGATTATTTCTTTGCTTTCATGATAATTATCAATAATCATCAGGAAAGTGGTATCAAGGATTTAGAGTTTTATCTTGAGATCTTAAGTCAAACAAATGTTGACGTCTTAGAGAATAGTGATGATTTCTTGAGTCAAGTAGAGTTGAAGAAGAAACATCAATTGGAGGCGAAGTATACCGAAATTATCCAGAGTTTGAGCCCTTCTAAGGTCCATGTTCCATCATTTGAGGAATACTATCACATGAATAAAGTCATCAGATCACGTGTGTTAGAGATCCCTCATAGTGTAGAAGAAAACGATGAAGATTATACAGTTAACACAACTTTAGTACCATTACTTGATTTCGCTAATCATAGATATGATAACAATGCTTATTTTGATGTTGATAAAGGAACTGGTGATATTCTTCTAAAAGTTAAATCCGATACGATTTCAATGGGGAAACAAGAGATCTGTATTCAATATTCTGATACTAAATCTGTACAACATTTTGTTTCCACTTATGGATTCATTCCTCATAATTCAGTACAAGTGTTCGAGATTAAGGTTAATAGTAATGATATCAATCATTGTATCAATAAGATTCAAGACACTGTGGATGTTAAATACGATCTCATCATGAAATGGTTAGAAATATCACCTATAATACAACTCATCAAAAATGGAGATGAAATAGGTGCTAATGTGAATTTTAATCCTATTCCATTCTGGGTGATTTTCAGTCATAAATTCGAATATGTTGGATGGGAAGACAAATTGAACTTGTCATTAATCAATGACGATGACTTACATATAGATAATGTTGAAGATTTGAGAACATTCATTAAATTCCAAGAGGATAAATGTGATGTCATTCAAGGATTAGAAAAAGTAGCCATAATCCCCGATACAATTGAAGACTTTGATGAAGATGAATGTAAACAGAAGTTCTTTTCATTGATCAAAATGTTAAATGATCATAAATCCTTGCCCGACACGTCCTTAACATCGCAATATCTCAACTATAAGAGAAATCTACTTGAAAAAGTTCTGTCGGAGATTGACATCGAACACGATGGGTTTTACCGCCCGGCTACTATTTATGGATAAACGTTATGATTAAACCCTCTTTTCCTTCGAATCTACCGAATTCCATGATCTATATTTTCATTCTATAATACTCCACAGTTTTTTCTATCATATTCCAGTATGTTCTGCCATTAATTCCATTTGTCACCTCACCATTCTGTGGCATAATCTGTCATCATCTTTGTAAGCTCTGTGATCATTAACCAGGTCATCATCTGTCATCATATTACATCCCACACGGCTGTATGACAAATAGAAATTCTAGTCCCAAAGTCACGCGCAATTAATAATGAATTTTCCGCGACTATAAATGCCGTTGATTTCTCATCAAATCTCATTAATCCATATTAAATAAATACAAATAAAAAATGGTTAACGCTATTGCTACTGAACAAGAATTCGAAGAAGCTTTAACTCACAGCGGTTTAGTCGTTGTTGATTTCTTTGCCACTTGGTGTGGTCCATGTAAAGTCATTGCTCCAATGTTAGACAAATTCTCCAAAGAATATGAATCAGCTAAATTCATCAAAGTTGATGTTGATCAATTTGGTGCTATTGCTCAAAAATACGAAATTTCATCAATGCCAACTATCTTATACTTCAAAGGAGGTGAAGTTGTTGACAAAGTTATTGGTGCTAACCCAGCTGGTATTAAACAAACTATTGCTAAAAATGTTTAGATGTAATATAGATTGTTTGTGACGTTTAGTCTGTTCTATATCTGATGTCTCTAGTACTCTACTGTGTCTCTTACTAATCTATCCTGTTTTTCCGTGCCTCTGATAATAAGCTTTAGGCTTCGTACGATGAGTATCCGAGATGCTGACTGAGGCTTTAAAAAGCCAGATGTATTCAAGGGCCATAGATGTATGACATGAAGCAGTCCCTAAAAAAGCTTCATTGGTGCTTTTTTGCCAGACCTTTTTGGGCCCCCATGTCCTTTGACAGCGGTTGGTCGTTTACCTTACCCCTTTGGGAATTAATTTCTTCTTTGAGCGATATGGCAATAGAAGTACCGTCGCCAAATATCTATTTTCCTGGATGTTAAAGCTCTTGTTGTACCGATAGCTAATCCGAAATTCCAAATCTTTATCTATTTTAGTTATTAAGTACCATTTGACAAGTTATACGACGTACTCAAGAGACAGACTAATCAAGACTGGATCACTTATACTAAAGTCAACAACCTTGAAACAATAGTCGATTCTGGCTGAGAGACAAAAGATATACTTATAAGAGACAAGACCCCAAATTCATTATTCATTGATGGTGTACCTAATTACCATTTCATATATAGAAATAAATTGTCTCAAGTTTTGAACCATTGATATTCTTTGTAATCTTAGATTACCCACGATATTGAAGATGATATCTTCATTGATGACCACGTTATTCTCAATCAAATTAATGATTGAATCAATAGTGATGAAAGTTCCTGTTCTACCACATCCTGCTGAACAATGGATCAAAGTAGCATAATCATTGATTCCGACTTCAGGATCTTTCATCAATGATTGTTTGAATCTAACAATCTTCATTAAATCATCAAAATTACCACAGATTTCATTGTCTAACCAATTCAATAATTGAATTTGAACAATTTCTCTTGTGTCAGTATCAGTGGTTATTTGAATTTTTCTAAAGATCAAATTATCATTAGCTTTTTCCACGCTATTGATCTTGATGGCAATCTTATTCCCATTACTGAAATAGATTCCTGGAGCCCAATAAGGATCACATTTGATCATTCCGTTTTCAAACTCGTCAGTTAAAGCAATGATCAACTTGGTGTTATTATTGATGATACTTTTATAGAAATCCCCAATGGTATGTTTCAAAGGACCTTGAGATGCAATATACTTGAAATTATTGATATTTTCAGTGTTATACAACTTATCAATGGAATTAATATATGAAGCGTTAATATAATCACATTGTTGAGGTTGATTAAAATCTTTCAATTTAACACGTGAATGATCATAAAGAAATATATCTTTATACCGATTTTTATGACCTTTTTCAATACCTGAACTGATAGATATTTCCTTGTTTATACCATTATTGTTGATATTTAATATATTATTTAATCTATTCTTTTCAAAAGTCTCAATATTATTGAATTCTGCAATCAATTTAGATTCTTGAAGTCTTTGAAGATTTATCCAAGAAGGAAGTTTCCTATGTTGCAAATCATATTTCGTAAGTAAATCAATACCTAATTTATTATGATCAAAAGTTTCTTCATTATGTCTAATTTTGAATGATGGAGTTAATGCTGTGGGTGGTAATTTGAAATTGGATAAAACAGGCGTACTGGATTCTACAGGGGATCTTAAATCATTCAAAGAATTTGATCTGAATCTATCGGGTGGTACTAAATGAGGGCCAACATTAAGTGTTTTAAGCTTGTTGGGAGCTTTTGTAATTGGAATGGAAGTCATTAAATTGGTATCATTATTCATTAAATCATCAACATTAAATAAAGGTTTATTACCAGTTTCTGAAAATTCTTCCTTGATATTCAAATCCCCAAATCCTTCATTAGCAATATAAATCGTTACATCATTCTTATCTTGTAAGATCTTCTTAATCATATAATACATATTAATTGAATTGTTGGTAGTGTCATAAATCAAAATACTGGGGAATCCAAATTTTGAACATTTGATTTGTTCAAGTGATGATTTTTGATTATTATTCATTATATTCAGTTGTTCATTATTATAATATGATTTGATAAGTAACTTTTCATATAAAGGTAAGGAATTAACACATCTTATAAATGAGAAATTTGGTCTTTTCAATAATGTTGAAGGTAAACAAATGTTAATGGCATATTTCAAATGATTGGTAATATAATCAGTAAATGATCTTACATCTATAATTAACATATTAGGTAAATTTAAATCTTTATCAATAGATAATTGACTCAAGGTATTTTGTAATTGATCAGAATCTAAATATTCGATATTTGGTGATAATGCTTTAATACTTTCAGTATAATCTTGATGAGGTCGTTTAATCTCATTGAATGTTTTAATGGTAGGACTACTTACATGTTTTGTTAATGGAGGTGGTTGGAAATTCAAATCAACAAGACTACTGGCTCTTACTTTATAATGATTCAAATTATTAAATGGTGATAATTCTCCATATAAATCTTTCTTTTCTTCATTTTCTTCGTTTATTGATAACGTGGGTAATTTTGTTGCTAAGATTTGTGGACTTTCATCAATAAGTGTTGATGAAGAAATAATGGAATCAGTCTTTTTCAATTCAGAATCAACAGTTGAATCTGATGTCATAGAACTAATAGAATCATTAAAATTATGATGCCTGATATTCAAATTTAATCTCCCATCAGGTGTGGAATGATTTCTTTCTTTATTATTTCTTTTGATGGCAAAATAATCTTGTGTCTGTAGTAGACAATTTGGTGAACATAAACTTGGTGATGACATTATTCTTCTTCCCTTCGATTATTTCTATGTTATATAAAAGACCCTTGTGTTTGGTTGTAAATTCTACCACAAAAGAAATCTCACTTACTTTAACTTACTCTAACTTAACAACCAAAAGTTCTAGAATCTATGTCTATCTAACTACTACCTAACTAATGGATTCTAATGTTTATAAAGATGACACGGTTAAAAAAGATTTGTGACAAGACTTTAAAGATTTTTCACACTTATACCTCACAGCCTATATTGACGTCAATAAACCCTTTAACAAAAAAAAAAATTTCTAAAAATATCGAAATGATTGTGTAAATATATCAACAAATGTTGGCTTTCTTCAGGAAACGTTTAATTTAATGAAACTTAACGTTTTCTACTTAATCTTTAAAGGGATAAAATAATTTTAGCCAACCGTTCTAGAATCGAATGCGAAAATCTCGCAAAATAATGTGCGAGAGATCTCATGACATCATTTCTCTCAGAGGAGGGGGGGGGAGAGAATAATTACCGTTAACCTTCAAACTTTAACGATCTACATGGAGATAGGATTTAAAGACCCTTGATGGGATAATAATAAAGTGTAACAGAGGGTATCATAGAATTCGTTATACATTTAATGATGATGATGATGATGATGATGATGACCATTATCGGTATTGATCGGGATTCCTTTCTATTTCGGAATTATTTTGCTTTATTTCTTTTTTTTCCGTTTATCTTCATTTCTTAATTTGATTTTAATCTTTAATGGTGGGTGATCTGGGGATTCACTTCTTTTCCGTTTCTTTTCTTCCTTTTCTTCAATCTCCTTGATATCAACTCTTTCATTATCATGTTCATCAAATTCTTTTCGTTTAAAATCTTCTAAATATTTATCATAATCTTGTTTATTACTTCCTAATCCACTTTTGATGAATTTTTTCATTAATTCACTTTCTGTTTCCTTTTCTAATGGCGATAAGGATTTTTCTATTGGCTTATGAACAGTATTCAATGAGTTACTTAAACCATTGAAATATATTTCATTGATATTCAAGTTCTTACTTGGATCAAGATCTTTTGATTTTAAATTCTTAATACTTGCTAATCCTTCTTCATCTTGTTCGTTATCAGGTAATAATTCTCCACAAATTAAAGCAGCTGCATCTTGAGAAGTATATTCTTGAGTATGAGCTATTCTACTATGATTTAAAAACCCTTGAGCTGATGAAAAATTACTTCTTTTACAATCTGGACATGTTAATTTAACTATGATCCCATCAGTTCTACGATACAAACATCCTATGGTAGAATTTTTGCCTCCTGTAGTTGTTGGTGGTCTTAATGATGATGTGGTAGATCTAGTTCTATAACTATGACCAGAATTCACTGAACTGAAACTATTATTAACTGAGAAACTTGGATGACGACTAGTTGTACCATTAGAACTAAAACTATCCCGATTGGAATTATTCATCATTTCTTTAAATTCGTTACTATCATAATTAACTGAAAGTGATCTGTTTAACAAATCATAATATTTAATGGTGAAATCATTAGGTTCACTACTTATGGATTTCTCTCTTGGAATTTGGAAATAATTTCTTAAAGTTATCATTTGTGATTCACATTTCCCTATCTCTTCTTCCGTCAATGTAAGTTCTTTGTGTTTCAATCGAATCTCCAAATCTATTTGATCAGTTATTATTTGTTTAAGTTTGTCAACTGGTATACTTTTTATTTTATTAATCATATCATTATTATCATTACTATCATTATTTATTTCATTAACTTCATCGCTTCTCCCTTCTACTGCCGTACCTTCTTCCAAATCGTCCGACATCTTGAATAATCTTAATAGTTTACCAAATATCTTGTATTCTGCTTGATGACCCTTGATCACCTTAACCAGCTTTTTCAGTGCGCACTGTTGATACTACTTTTGTGATATGTTACAATTGGAAATTCTAGATTCGCTACTAAAGGAAAAGCTTATCGATGGCAAACAACTTATTCAACTGTTGATGAGTCAATTTGATTCGGACTTGTGGATCTAATTGTTGGTACACATGGATCTTGTGTATTCCATATTTGGTTTTGATCCATCTATCAATGAATTGAGGTTGATACAGGGTCTGAGGATTTGTTTCATGGGGGTTCTTATCAATAACGAGACTATCTGTGTTTGGTTTGGGGCTTTCAGAAGTTTTGTTGTTGGTGTTTAAAGACTCGAAAGATGGGGTGTTTTGGAGTGAGGGGGTTTTGACTATGGGTGTATCAGAGGTTTGGCTCTTTGGCAATTTCTTCACAGTCTTTGGCGATTTCTTCACAGCATTTGGCAGTTTCTTGACGACTACTGCTACTTTTTTTGTATCCTTTGTCTTTTTCTTCTCACTCTTTGGTAGTTTCTTTGCAGCCGATACTTTCACTACTTTTTTTGCAACTTTTTTTGCAACTTTTTTTGCAACTTTTTTTGCAACCTTTTCATCCTTCAATTCACTCACCTCCCGGCCAAGATCACTCAGACTACTTTTACCTCCAGCCTTCTTACTTTGAACTCCAGCCTTCTTACTTTTACCTCCAACCTTTTCAACCAAGGGTTGGGATTCAATAACAGGATACTCCACAAGCAGATTAATCTTTCTCAATTTGATTTGAGAAGGTTGTTTCCTCTTCACAGGACGTTCCAATTTATCAACACCCACGGGAATTTCATTTCCAACCCTGTTCTTGAACTTCTTTGCCCTTTCAGTATAATCAACCCTAAATACGTTAGTCTGCCTAATGGAATCATGAATATCATTTATCTCCTCGTATAAACTATTCAATGATTCCTTACTGATTTGTTCAATTGAATTCAGAGTTACTCCATCTCCTGGAAGCAATGTCAATCTTCGATTGGGATGTTTGGTCCTACCAATTGATCGATCTTGAAATACTTTCTTCAAATCCTCAATAGTGTTATCATCAGGATTAACTATTCTATCTTTCAATTGTAATTGAACTTTTTTCTTCAACCCTTGCTTTAACCCAGAAACTTTATTCCTAGAGTTCACATCTACTTGTTAGAATCAATCATTGGGGGCACGATGCCCAGCGGCGGCTTAAAGGTATGTCTTACTTCTAACCATAACCGGTGAAATCAACTGTCGCGAATAACCATGTCAGAAGATCTAATAATCCCTTCAATAAGTTCATCCGTCAATAAAATCACCATACTGGATACTTCCAAGACTGGTTTCGGATATAATCCAGCGGTAGGACCATCATCCAATGAAATCACTGAAGATACTTCGAGTATTTTGATCAATAAACGAACTATCAGTCTAACTCCCCATTCATCAAATTCAATCTTAGATAGAAATTTAAATAAAAAAGTTAACGAAATAAGTTTATCTTCATTATCGTTCTTATTCTGTGAAATAGTTAATTGGTGTCACAAAAACTCCAAAGGAATTCAAGATTTAGAAAATAGATTGAATGGTTTAGGTTATCAAATCGGTCAAAAATTCTTAGAATTAGTTAAAATCAGAGAAGGTGTCAAATATAGTAAAAGAGAAACCAAAATTGTTGAAATCTTGCAGTTCATCCATTCATCCATGTGGAAATCAATGTTTGGTAAAATCGCCAATGAATTGGAGAAATCTCAAGATCTCAATAATGAATACATGATAATAGATAATTTACCCATAGTTTCCAAATTCATAAATGTACCCAAGGAATATGGTAATTTGAACTGTTCAGCTTTCATTGCAGGTATAATAGAAGGTGCTTTGGATTCTGCCGGATTCTTTGCTAACGTTTCAGCACATTCAATTCCTAAAGATGATAATCCTTTAAGAACTGTATTCTTAATAAAATTTGACGAATCAGTGATTTTAAAAGAAGAATTAAGATATACATAAATACATCCCCATCTTTAAACGTCCTCTTCCAAGCAATTCTATATACTTTTTACACCTCCTTCCTAGTTCCATATATCCTGCGAAACTTTTCACACAGAATTTTTCTCACCGACAAGTATGGGTATCAAAATTCGACAAGCTGATATCCATGATATTCAAGCCATTCAAAATGCTAATTTACATAACTTACCAGAAAACTATCTTTTGAAATATTATATGTATCATGAATTATCATGGCCTCAAGCAAGTTTTGTAGCAACAACTTATGATGAAAGTTCATTAGATGAAGAAATCAATGAAGATTTAAAATTCGAAGATCCTAAAGGAGATACCGCCTATATAAGAAAGGGAGAAAAGATAGTGGGATATGTGTTAGCTAAGATGGAAGATGACCCTGAAGCAGAAGATAAAACCCCTCATGGACATATTACATCATTATCAGTTATGAGAACTTATAGAAGAATGGGATTAGCTGATAGATTAATGAAACAAGCATTATATGCATTATGTGAATCATTTGATGCTAAATATGTATCATTACATGTAAGAAAATCCAATAGAGCTGCATTACATTTATATAAAGATACTTTAAAATTTGAAGTTAGTAGTATAGAAAAATCATATTATCAAGATGGTGAAGATGCTTATGCTATGAGGAAAGATTTAGTATTGGAAGAATTACAACCTCACTTAATTGATGGAGATCAAGAAGTTGATGATTTCGAAAAAGATTTATTAGAAGATTTATAACAAAATAAACGGAGAGAGCGGGAGAAGAAGAACGATAATGGGA